AACCCTAACACAATCACAAGTTCACGTTCACTCTCTTTTGGTGCTTTGTCATGTCATGTGTAATTCTCTGTCCTCTTTTAGTTACTGTCACTTGTTAATTGGGACAAACTTTATCTGCAAGAGACAAGGCTAATGTCCCCTTTCCCCCCCAACAAACACACAAACAAAACCCCCCTTGTACATCCCTTAGTTGAAAATCGCCTTGTACATCCTTTACTTGATGCTCAAAACAAGGGAGCAGTCTTTAACCTTCCAGCGTGCTAGGAACTCTTCCAACAAAGCAGATATCCAAGTCCCCAAGGTTGCCCTGTGTAATTTCACATTGTTACTCTGAAAATGAAGCTGTTGGCCAGTGGCAGTCCTTGTAAACACTAGAAAGTGCTCCTAAGGTGAATGCTAGACATGATTTCATTGCTGGTAGCTTCTATCTTGCTGTAACAGGATACAGAAATACAGTCCTAATGGGACCATCTATCCTATTCCTGTTGTTGTCGCTAGATTGGGAAAGTACTTCCCTAGCATTCAAAGTTTTCTACCTTACCAACTTTGCCAGTGCAGTACTGCTTATTGCTCTTTCTCTGATGTTAGTGATTTCCAGATGTCATTGCTACTTGATTTCGTGCTGCTGAACGCCAAGGAATGGTAGCTACTGTAAGCAGTGTTTGAAACAGTAAGGTGAGGTATCAGACAATACCCTGCTGTTACTTATGTGAGCTTAAACCACAACAGAAACACATGATGGAAGCACAGATCAAAGACTCCATGAGGATATTTACACAATGTTTGATTCATTCACTACCAGTGAATGGTTTCAAAAAATCCCTCATTATTTGTCCATATTATCACAAAGCTTTTACCTTGATCAGTTCGTGATGTGGTGCTTGTATAGAACCTATCTCCCATGGCTACATGCTGCTAAATGGAAATGAAGTTAACGTACCTTGGAAGTGCTTATGTCCTCAGAAAAGAACATTTTTCTCAGTGTAATATTGTAGGTAGAATGTTGGAATGTCTAAAGCAACCTCAGGCACTTGGGTACCTATTCCTCACAGATGTTTTTAAGGGTATTTTAGGGTTGCCATTTCCCTTAGATTGCTTTGAATTTCACCATTAAAGGTTCTTGAAGTTAAATTTTTGTACCTTATTGTATGTTATTAGGCTGAAGTGTTCACAACCTTGCTTGTTAAAGTGTTGAAAATGTCGCATGAGTATGTCAACATGCAGAAAAAGTAAGTCTAAAAAGCTAATACTAAAATTTAACGTGCTAATATGAAGTAAACATCCTGAGTTGCCCACCTGCTACCAGGGGACGTTACATGATGGAGCTTGTATTTTCAGACAGAATAGAAAATGTCTAGAAACCAGTTTTCTTTATCCAAGGACTACATTCATTTCCAGTAACATCTACTCATTTAAACAAGCTTGTGCTGGCTTATGAATAGTTATAGACTGTACTTTTGGTTAGAATGAAGGAACATAGATCACTAAGTGTCAGGCTGCTTAGAAACCAGCATGTCCTCATGATTGTTTAATAGGGTACAGAGGGAATTGCCTTCAAGGTAGTGAAATGTTGTATTCAGTTGCCCATCAGTGATGCTTCAAAAATGAGAGCAGAATTGTTCTCTTATGAGTCTTAGCATAAAAATTTAATTAGCTGCTGAGCTCTTTCTGAAGATGGAAAAAAAAGTGATTTCTTTTTAGATAGTCACTTCCCTTTAACCGGTTATTTTGTATTGTTCTACTGTTCATGCAGGCAGGATCTGCTGCCTTCTGCTTCTCTTCGTTTTCCTCTTTCAGTAATGATTTTAAAGTGATTGTGCCTCTGTGGTGGGTATCAGCCAGATACCAGCCCCACATAACCTGGTTTCAGCATTTTAATCTATTTTTTGCAGTATGTTTCAGCACATTTGAACACTATTCTTGAAAGACATTCAGAACACAAATCGTGGGGGGAAATGGATGCATAGTTTGAACTAATATGCAAATCTGCTGTTATTAAATACAATAGCAACTATAATAATTATTAGTTTCATTGATCAATATGTTGAAATAAATCTTTCTTTAGAAGAGTACAAAGACAGTATGTACTAATCAGAAAATCAGTCTTTAATTGGAATCAAATACTATTTATGTTATTTATTATAGTTTCATCTCTGCATGTGCTATTTTGCTCTTAAGGGAATGAAATCTTATGACTTAGCATGTATTTGTGGTGTCATATTATGATGTCTGTGAGAACGATACGTTTGACTTTAGCTTAATTTCTCAGATTTAAACAACTATACTTTAATCTTGGTTGTCTTCCATTAGAAGGAGACCGGAAACAAAAGAACAAGAAGAGCCCCAAACCTTTAACTCTGTTGACATGCATAATGTCAACTATCTTTATGTCAAATTATTTAAATCTCTGGTCTAGTGTGACACATTTTCCAGAAGCACACTGGTGCATCGATACACTGTGATCACCTTGAAGCATAAATGTTTGTCTGTTGGTTGGTTTTTGCAATTAGAAATGCTTCAAGGCCTGGATATGTCAAAGAATGTGTCTGTTCTTCAAGGCATTCCTTAGCATATCCAGGAGTCCTAGTTCTTTGAGCCAGAGCTGCAGGTACCTGAGGGAGTATGTCAGGAAAGACGTGACTGGGTTAAAGGCTCGGTTATTGAAACCCAGCTATCGTCTTTCACTTCTTGTATATGCCCAGACATGCATGTGCTTATCTATTTATTCATGTTTACATTGGTGACGTACATCCTGGCCATAGATCCTACATATCTCTCTGCAACAAACGTTAGGTCTGGACAGTATAGCTGTTCAGCTCTCCCAGATGACGTGTAGGATGTCATACCCAGGCCTGTGACTTGACTTGGCCACTGAAGCCTTTCGAATAGCAGTTAATTGCTTCTAGCTGCTGTCAAAATCTTTAAAGACTGAAAATAAAAATAATACGCTTTAGGACTCACAGTTGAAAGTTGAAACAAAGTTGCTTGCATTGGCCAGAAATAAACCTTTATTTTTCTAGCGAAAGAGAAAAAATATAAAATGAATCTTTCATAGATGTGTTTTATTTCCTGGAAATGTTCTCTTTGTAAATGTTTCCCTTCTTCATGTTTTGCGCAAGCCAATGTTTTTTAAACATAAAAAAAGATTAACGTTTTCAACTTGAAAACTCTGAAACAAAGTGTTTTGACACTTCTGAAATTCACTTTGCACCTGCTTTGGAGAGCAGGGTCAGACTCTGGTTTTGAAGAAGCTGAGTATAATAGTAAATATTCTGCTTGCAATACCAGACTCCTTAACTTTCTAGAAGAATCTGGTTGTCCATGTAGGTCAGTAAGGGAAACGTAACTATTGGTGCAAGTGGCAAGGTTGTGTGTGATTGTTTGCTGATTTTGTTGGGTTTTAGGAAGAAGAGGGTGGTTGGGCTCTTTGGAGTAGACAGAGTTTTGCACCTTCTCTCTACTGGAAGTCTGAGCTTGTTCCAGGAAAGGGAGTCAGTAACAGCATGTGCTGGGGATGTGGAAGACTGAAACTGGTGCAGAGATTATACTCTGCGGTAAGAAAATGAAGAAGAGCTGGTCATTGCTCAGAAGAGGTAAAAAGAAAGATTTCCTAAGACCCAGAAGACTGGATAAGTTTTGTTTGGGAAATCGCTGACCTGGCTAGGTTTGCGGACTTGTCTTCACAAAGGGACAGCACATGTATGGCTTAATTTTACTCTGCTTTACAAATTGCTTTGAGCTTTTTCTATTTACAGAGTCAATTGTAGCTGTTACCTGTACAAAACCATTTTTTGGGGGGGGAAGTTTAAAGTTCTTGGCTTTGGGAAATTTACAGTAAAGACAGATTTGGGCCACTGCACCTCTGTGTTCTGTCTGGCTCCATGGGCTCATTAGGTAAAACCAGTCTGGAGTAAGTTGGTCCCTGTGTCTGCTTTCCACAGCCATTCTTTCAGTCCTACTAAACTAGCCCTGAAATGGGTAATGGAAAGTAAAGGCAAAACTTCCCATGACGGCTGATATGTCTTCAGAGCTAAGAAGAGTTCAGGGACAGTGAAGGACTCCAAGGAAAAAATAGTGCATGGTTTTAATGAATAGAGGCAATTTATGGAGTCCTGAAAAGCTGTTGAAACTTCTTACTGCAGTCAAAGATCACAGTTACTGCTTCTTTCAGTGCTGGATCAGATACCCACACAAATAATTTACTTTCTACATAACAATGTAAGTTCAACCTCTTTGTTTTGATGATCTTCCTTTCAAAATAACGTAATTACAAAACTGGGTGGTTTTGGTTCTTTTGTTCATTGGTTTCATTTCTTGTTTTATGGTTTGTTTTTTTAAGAGAGCTAAATGACAGGAGAATGGAAATTGAAACAGTCAGGTTTGATAAAATGAGACATGTCTGGTAGAGTTAGATTCTTCTTAAGCCTGATAGCCAAATCAAAATAGTGGCAATCTGAATGTGTTTCTGTGAACCCATCCTGTTTTAGGAGTAAGTCTCTTTCAGAGATATTCTCTGAAGTTATCTGTTCTTTCTATCAGTAGAAGGAATTGTCTGGGCTGCTTCTTTCTCTCTGATTTGTGATCCTGCAAATACAACTGTCGTGCTTCAAAGTCTGGATCTTGACATTTGAGAGGCACATTTTGGATTTGATATTTCATACATGGTTTCTTGGGTATAAAACATCTGCTATGTGATTTTTCTAATCCCACAATATTCTTTGCACACTTCTCCCACCAAAACAAAAAAAGACAATTTATTCTCCACCCTGAAGTTTATGGACCTGTCATGAAGTTGTAGAACATAGACTTCTGAAAGGTATATTTGTGAAGGTTATATTACTAAAAAGCAGTGAGGTAGGATAGAAACGTATTATAAGGATTCATGCGCGTTATACCATAATTAACCTTGGGGAAGTTTTAAATCAGCAGGACTCTTCTGTGGTTTTTACTTATCATTGTTAATTGGGAAAAAAAATTGTATCTTTAATTATTCTTTTCAGTTTTACAGAATTTTTGGATCCATTCCAACGAGTTATCCAGCCAGAAGAGATCTGGCTGTATAAAAATCCTTTGGTGCAATCAGACAACATACCTACACGTCTTATGTTTGTAAGTACTAAAGGTTTATTGGGCATTTGACGGCTATAAGCTAAGTACAAGGAAGGATAACCAGTAGGAAATCTTTCGGGATGGTAGGATGTTTATGTAATTCTGATGGCAATTATTTTCCAAACCGGGGATGTCCAAGGTGGCAAAATGTAGGAAATTGTGGGGAGTTTATAGAAAGTAGAATTGCAGGAGATTGGATTTATGAATATTGATTTTACAGGTTAAGATTTAAGGTTGTGTTAACTTTTAGAGGGATGCTAGAGAAATGATTAGAGAAGCTTTCCAAAGTAGCTGGTTGGGTGACCTGACAAAACCTTGCCACGCTCTTATTAGGTGAAGTGCTTACGTTTTGTGTTTTAGGCATGTTAGGCACTGAGATATTTGACTGTTTTACTCCAAATGCTTTTTTTTAACATCTAGACAAAACTTTGCCTTAACTTCTGCCCACAAGTGTACCAAATATACCATAGGGATGCTCTGTTGTCAGTGTTGTTCTGCTCTCCCCATCACAGCTTATGGTGACATGCAAACTGGCTGATTTTGATGGTTTAATTAGATTATCAAAATTCGAGATTTTGATAAAACCTGCACTAGCACTGATTAACAATCATAATAATCTGCATATATAACTATAAGAGTGCAGTAAGAGTGCTGCAGAGATGCTAAGAAATTACAGCTGTAGCTCAGGCTATTAAAACATGTCAGTCAGTCTTTGTGAAAGCCTCATCAGTCCGAGTGGGGACAGTGGATGAGGTCAAATCGTAGTACCCTTATATCAAAACATCCTTTCCTGTGTCTTTAGTGAAGCCAGGATTTTACTTTTCAGATTAAGGCTTGAATTCAGGCTGAATGCAAATCAGCTATGTCATTTATCTTCACATTTTTTCTTTTAAAGGGTCAGGCTTTCAGTTATGGAACCTTTTTAATTGAGGAACAACTTGAAGGTGTTTCCTATTTATGAAGTGCCAGTATATCAGAGCTTTCTAAGACATAGGCTGAAGACCTGGCTTTAAGTTCATAACATATTGTTTATATTTCATCAAGGAGAACCTTTATTAAGGATTTTTTGAGATGGATGAGTGGAAACATACGTCCTTCCTGAAATAGTATGTAGCTGTCTAAAACAAATAAAAACCCCCAAACTCACAAACCCAAACATTACATTGTTATACTAGAGAAGACTCTTGAGTTTAATTCTGCCCTTTTTCTTTATGGTGAGCATTACCTTGCTACCTTGTTTTCTCTGATCTGTATTTATAACTGAAGAGCTCAAGAGACAATAGTGAAACATTGTGCAGGGGGTTGCTGCAATGGTTAAACTATTTTTTAAACCATTTGGGATAATCATTAGTTCATCCTCTGCTCTCTAGTCAGTGGCCACTGGGAAGCACGATTCTGGCATATGTGTAATATATTTCCCTGTTGACCGCTTCCCATAGAGCCGGGTTTTGATATACTTCATGATGGTGGGACTTCCAGGTAGCTCTGGGTCAGTAATGTTTGCATAGTCCATGCTCTCTTTCTGCCTCAGACCGTTAACATCAAGTAGCTCAGTGAACAACTTCTCAAATTCAGAAACCTAGATAATTTCTAAGTGTTATTTCTTTAATTAAGAAATAAAATCCAACTGTAGCGTTGACACAAGCTTTCATTAGGTAGAGTTCCTTGCCACTAGTGGCATATTCCCATGCTAAAGAGTATGGCTGTGGTTTGCCAGAAGACTTTATGAACTGCTCGATCATTTTATATGCTGAGAGGTTTGAATCCAAGAGAAATGTTGTGAATATTCCAAACCCAGATCCAAATTAGACGAAGCCGACTTCTGCACGGGTAGCAGCAAGGACTGAAAAGACCTGAGTCTTGTTCTGTCTCTCTGTGAGTGAATATTCCTTGTCTTGGAAAGTATAAGGTACTGTCAACTTCTCTTGAATGCACGGAAGTATGTGGGCGTCCCTATAACTTTAACATATCTCTGTCTTGCCAGGATGAATAATGAATGAGAGAGATTTTGACCATGTTTCACAAAAGCTAGGCAATTTTGGAATATTTCACTGCTGGAAAAGAAAACATTACTGAGATGCATCTGAAGAGAGTATTGCTCATTAGACTGATGCCAAATCTGTTATGGATATGAGCCATACAGAATCTTTCTGCAAAATAAAGAAAAAAAGAGTCCTTAGCAAGCCAAACTTTCTTTATATGTGCATTTTGCTGCAGAATAAAAGTAAAATAGAATAATATCCACCTTCCAGCTAATGCTTTTGTGTAAGGAACAGCAGTGTATGACAAACACGAATAATTGTTCATCTCTCTGAAAAATCTATATGCTTGTGAAATATGAAGAAATCTGCAGTTTTACCACATTTCTGAGGATTGATTGTAAAACGGTTGGGAACGAGCTGCTACTTCAATTCTAGTCTTAATGTTTTCTTCTGCTTGTGTAAAAGAGCCTGTCATCTGGCCAGATTTCTACATCTTCTTCAACAATGGCATGCAGATATCTTTCTTCTTTTCTTTCCTGGGGGCAATTGTTACTTTTTACAATGAAACTAATAATTCAAGGTTTTGCTTTAAACTTTTATTTCACTCTTTGTCTCTGAAAGCAGAAATTAAACTGTTGCTGAGGATGGAGAGAAGTGAACGATTCTGGAGCAGTAACATGAGACTGGCAACCTAACTTAAATAAATCTCACTCAGACTATAAACAGAAGGGAGTTTTAAGTGGAAGTGGTGCATCTTTGTCACAGAAAACCTGGTGCCTGCTTTTCTAAATGAAAAAAGGGGAGCAGACTCCAGACTGTGTTTTAATTTGCATGGCTCAGTGAGTTAGATAATGATTTGCAGATGCAGGTGAGGGGAATCTGGTCCATGATGCACTACCGAAATAACAAATACAGTGCATTTTCATGTTGTTGCCTATTCAGATATTCTAAAAGCATAAAATGAGGACTGGACTTAATCTCTATTATAAAAAGAAGAGAGTTGCATGTGTTTGTCATAACCTGTTTGTCCTGTCTATCTCTTATTACAGTGGGACTGCTTAAGAAGTAAAGCGCTGTTCAGCCTCAGTAGAGATAGCATAATCTTACTTAAGCCCTGGCACATTTTGTGCCATGTACAGCTTAATTTTCATCTCTTTTAAGGGCCCATTTTACTTCAAGAGAATAAATGCTTTCGAAAGATTTTGAACGCTTGACTCATTTTTGAAGAAATGTGTTTATGAAGAGGTTTGTAGATTCCAGAAAGGAATTGGTTAACTTAGACCAGAACCGACAAGAAGCGTAACTGGATTACAAGTTGCCTTTTACCTCTGCAATTGAAAGTGTGAGACAGAAGGGATGATGGAAGGACCAGTTAGGAACAAAATCATAGTTTTCATGGCAGGTTACTAATGAAAAACTCCCTTGTATTGTTCTTGGTAGAAACTGATATATCTCTCTGGCAAGACAATAAATCCCTGCTCTGGGAGGACAGACTGCAGCATACAGGCAGTGCACGAAGTAGGCTGCTTTTCAGATAGATGGCACATTTACATATTTTTAACATATTCATTGCCCTGTACTTGCAAAGAAAAGTCATCCTGCATCCAGCTCTGGGGCCTCCAACGCAAGAAGGATGTGGACTTGCTCAAGTGAGTTCAGAGGAGCTCAAGGAGATGCTGCGAGGGCTGGAGCAGCTCTGCTCTGGAGCCAGGCTGAGAGAGCTGGGCTGGGTCAGCCTGGAGAAGAGAAGGCTCCTGAAGGGGAGACCTGAGAGCAGCTCCAGTGCCTGAAGGGGCTGCAGGAAACCTGGAGAGGGGCTTTGGACAAGGGCCTGTAGGGACAGGCCAAGGGGAATGGCTTTAACCTGCCAGAGGGGAGACTGAGATGAGCTCTTAGGCAGAAGCTCTTCCCTGTGAGGGTGCTGAGGTGCTGGCACAGGGTGCCCAGAGAAGCTGTGGCTGCCCCATCCCTGGCAGTGTTCAAGGCCAGGTTGGACAGAGGGGCTTGGAGCAACCTGATCTAGTAGAAAGTGTCCTGTGGCAGGGGTTGGAACTGGATGAGCTTTAAGGTCCCTTCCAGCACAAACCAGTCTGGGATGCCACTTTTGTTAAGGTCAGGAGTTTGATAAAGATCATTCAGCTTTCCAGTTTAAATGGAGCTAACTGAAACCGACTCTTTATCAGTTGGACTCAAAAGGAATTGATGCTCTCACACATGCTGTTTGTTATCTTTTACAGGCAATTTCCTTCCTCACGCCACTGGCAGTCATTTTTGTGGTCAAAATAATCCGGCGAACAGACAAGACTGAAATCAAAGAGGCTTTCTTAGGTAATGTATGTGATTCTTCAAGATGAAAAATGTGTGATAGCTCTCAGAGATTGATTCCAATTGTAGTCTAAACCTTGAAGAAATCCTGTCTCCATTACAGTCCATTACAGTTGTTTTCAGTGCAGGTGTAGTTGTAAGCCGTCTCAGAAAAGCCTTTTTTTCAATGCATATGTCTAAAGGTACAAATTCTATACACAATATAGCTAGCGAGAGCCAGAATTCAATTAGCAAAGACAAGACCATCTGAGACACTGTTCAGATGTATATTTTTCTGTTACAACCAATGTATTACCTCAATTTATAATTGTAGCTATTCTAAATTAATGGTATCACTGGAAAGCCATGGAGATTCAGCTGTTTAATGTAGGAAATTACTCCTCCCATTGCTCTCTCTGATCTCCTGGAATTTACTGTTCCCCGTTGCAAAATGCGTGCTCATGGCTCAGTTTTTGTAACCACGAGCTGATGTTTCATTTCAAACTGCCAATGGAGTCAGATGTGCACTTAATGATGGACTGTGAACTGCTATGTCTGTGTTATGGATGAGCTCTAATTACAGTTGTAGGCAGCAACTTTGAGCAGAGGAGCAGGTAGACAATGGGGATGGTAAATCTTAAACTGTTCCAGCTGATTCTGGCTGTGTCTATCTCTTGAAATCTTTTAGTGATATGTGCCCAGATCCTGTTTGCATACACAGTGCCAGAGACCAAAACTGACTAAAGCACTTTCACTGGCAGAGGACGCTTTGAAGCACTAAGAACTGTAAATGTTTCTGTTGGCAGCATGTTTGAAACCTGCCTAATTCTGAATATCTCCTTTACTGCCTAATTTGCACTTGAATTTATTGGCCCTTAGATTGTGAGGTCAAACAATACTCACCCTAGCCTTAGCTAGAAAGGACGTAAATGCCACTGTGTATCTGCCTTTGAAGTTTTCATAGACAAGACTGGGTTCCTATAGCTTGTTCTTTCTCCAGTTGCTCTAACACAAGTGTGAAAAGATTGAGGTTTGTTTTGGCTGCTGCCAGTCATTTGTAGTAAGCTCTGAAATGCCTTGCAGTGATGTTTTACTGAGAAGTCCATTCAAGTAAAAATAGCTCTGATTCATAAAATGCATACAGTCGCAGTTCTCAGTTTCATTTTCTGTTGTTTAAGAAGGAAAAGAGCTTTGATTAGTTTCTCCGTCACGTATTCTCACTTTTTTGTTCTAAAAAGACATTCATTTTTTCTGCTGTTCTTGCCTTCTGTTATGATTCCCTCTAAAATGTCCAGGAGAAAAATTGCCAGCTTCCCCAGTATTCTCCTTGCTGGCCAGACCTTAAGGAAACCCCAGCCTTGATGTTCTGTTCTGCAGGGTATCCCTGCTCAGTATTCCCATGTCCATACATGTGGAACTTCTTGTGGCTTATTTAAGTGTACTGTACATTACTATGATTCAGTATGTTAATGTGTCTTGTGATGTGAAGCTGATTGTGAAGATTCATCAACTATGGCAGAACTTTGCTGATTTGCTGAGATCTAGAATATAATGTTCTTAATGGTCAGGAAGTCCCCCAAAGGTGAATTTCTTTAGGCATCATCCATAGAATAAATCAAAGATTAAAATGATGTGAAAGTGCTTTGTCTCTCATATAGCCATTAACATAAAGAAGGTGATTTTGTGTGTCTAGGGTAAGGAGTAGTTAACTTCTACTGTAGGTGCCCTTAATCCTTCCACTGGAAGTACCTGCATCTCGCTACTGGCTTGATTATATGACTTTTTATGTGCACTATGAATCTTCCCTAAAGGGAACAAAATGATAGCAGTTGCAATTTGTTTATCATCTTACATTCACACTGTCATTAGAAGCTTGGCTTGCATTATAAGGAATATGCATCAGTGGAAGCAGGTTCAGTCAGGTAGGCAACGAACAATCAAGACAAAGCACTATGAAATGATTAAACCTTACTGCATGTCTCAAAAAGCAGATATCTACATCTCCCATTTTTTAACACTGCTGGTCGCATGCATTTGGCTTTGTGGAAGATTCAGTTCACCATGCAGTCACCATAAATATCTGAGAGAAAACAATTGAAAGGAAAAAGAGAGCATGGGATTGATTGGTCACTCTGAACGTAGGTGTTGAGTGTGGAAGACTTCTTTGAGCAGTATCAGTGTCTCTGACTTGTTCCTTCATTTCTGCTGACAGCTATTGCTATAGTCAGAGAAAACCCTTGGTTTTGCTTTGATGGAGGGCCTCCTTTTATTTAACTTGAAGAAAAATAGATCCTATAATGCACATTTTTTTGATCTATAGTATCCTCTGGCGAAGATTTTATGGACACAGGATGAGTGCCGCTGAAGTGCAGCATCTGGGGCTGCAGTCCAATGAGAAAATAGCTCATGCAGCTGTCACTGTATTATTGTAACTGTTCTGCTGGAAATCAGAGATTTGCCTGATAGGTTTTTTTTTCTGATGGGAAATAAAATTCAGTGGCACTTGTGTTGTAACAGGGAGCTGAGGTGTGGACCGCAATGTTGAATCTCAGTTTTAATCTAAAAGGAGTGCATGTAGGAGGCTGTCGAAGAGATTCTCCAGAAACTCTAGGGACTCAGCGCACAGGTGCAGATAAAAAAGAGGATTCAGTCATACCTAGTATGTTCGTGTTTATTAGGAAAATTGGTTAATCATAGGAGCAAATATAAGGGGAAAACATCAAACTTTTTACTCAAAATATCCACATCCTTTTGAAAGAAAAATTAAAAAAAATCATCAAATCCTAGCTTTACCCAAAAGGCAATCCTTTAGGCTGAAAATGGACTGTGTAACTGTTGTATGTAATATCCATGCATAAACACACACGTGTACATATGTGTATACTTGCATGTATCTTATGTATACATCCATAAAAGAACTCATTTTGACCCCAAGAACTTAAGATTTTGATCTAGGAAATTACAAAACTGATAAACACAGTACTTGATTCTCTAATAATTGTTTCCATCTCTTGATTTATGCCTGTGCAAATGGCATGGTAGATGGCTTTGTAGAAGAAAATCAGATTTCTCAAGAATAAAAGCAGCGCAAAGTCATGATTATGATGATGCTCTGGGGTCTCTCCTTAGTCTGGCTAAAAAGAAAAACAGTAGGATGTGAAGACCATTTGGTTTTCAGTCCAGAAAAGGTTTTGCTCTGTAAATGGAATGCTGTAATGCTGCTGTTTTTTGCCTGGTATTTAGGTTATTATTGTTCTGTTTGTTCATTCTGTTTTATAGCTGTTTCCTTGGCTCTAGCTCTGAATGGCGTCTGCACAAATACTATCAAATTAATAGTGGGAAGGTAAGTTTTGTCATGTTATAAATGGTAGCTTTAACTGTTAAGAGAAATGAAGGCAGATTGACAAATTACAATGCATCTTAATAAAAATAAAATGATAGCTCTTGCTCTGAATTAGAATGGGCCCCTGTGAAGCTGTCCTTTTCCTGGTGCAAATGTTGTACAACTTCATTATGTGACATCCAGCTGTGGTAGGAGTCTATGCCCTTGTGCTTTGTTATTTGTTTGACCAGTTGGCATATCCAGACAAATGAGGAGCTTGAAAGGAAAGGTGTGAGGCAGAATTGGTTCATTAAATTGGCAACACAGCATATGGGAGTTCAGATGCCAGTGCCACTAGTCTGATTAAAGAGGGATCAATTGAGTCTCTGTATAACCCAGTGCATGCATTTCATGTGAAGCATATTACTGCATGTAGTATTTCCAGGTAACATCAAGATCCATGGCAGATCAAAACTTGGAGCTAAGCAGGAAGTGGACTCTAGGTAGGACATTTTTTTAGGAAAGCATAAATTTGAATGGAGGGCTCAAAAAAGAAAAATTAGTAAAAATACCCTCTGGAAATTAACTTTTTTTTTTAGGTACTATTTGTCTCTTCATCAGAATTTTAAATAATTTCATCTGAAAAATGTATATTTGGCTTTAATACGCTATTTAATAGGGACCAATGCTGCAATTTTTGTTCACCTTTTTTGCATTGAGGAAGCAGTAGTTTTGCTTGGTTTCTGATGAACCCTCTCTGCTACAAACGCCCTGACAATAATGGTACTTGGCACTTTAAGAGTGCTTTTGAAACACAATTAAGAACGTCTGCACTCTCTTCCTCAGGCAGACATGAGCTCATTTTGCCTGTACTTCAAGCCAACTAGTTGCTCTGTCAGCGTGTCTCTGGTCTTGCTTCTCTACATGGTTTATTAGCTCAGGATCAGTATGACAGTATGATTTTCCGAGACAACTCCCCCTTGTACGCTTCACTGGTAGCTTCCCTGAGATAGCCTGCGTGCAAAGAGAGTGACTTTGAATTGAGGGACATGGCCTAGGCTGGACTTGCCAGTGTTAGGTATACTGTTGGACTCTGTCATCTTAAAGGTCTTTTCCAGTCTAAAAGATGTTGCTGTGTTAATGGAGGGAATGAACTCTGTATGTAATAAGCACTAAATGTAATAACTACTTTAAGGTTTATTTGCTACTACGGCTTTTATATTCTTAATATCCATGGTGTTTTTTGTAGACCGCGTCCCGATTTCTTTTACCGCTGCTTTCCAGATGGAGTAATGAACTCTGAAATGCACTGCACAGGTGATCCAGATCTGGTGTCTGAAGGCAGAAAAAGCTTTCCAAGTATCCACTCTTCCTGTAAGTTCATTTAAATGCAGTGCCTCTTTTGTAAGAAGCTGTCCTATCTGTGTTTTGGAACTGCTCTTTTTTTGTTAGATCGTTGTTGTGGTTTAAACCCAGCCAGACAGCTCATTCACTCACTCCCCCCACCTCCTCCCTCTTTCTTTCTCCCTTCCCTGCTCCCAGAGGGATGGAGAGGAGAATCGAAAGAATGTAACTCCCACAGGTTGAGATAAGAACAGTCCAGTAACTAAGGTATAGCACAAACCACTGCTGCTTCCACCAATAATAGTAATGATAAGAGAAAATAACAAGGGAAGAGAATACGATGCCACCCACTGAAACGAGCCCAACCCAGAAGACCCCGTGTCGTTCTGGGTAACTCACAGTTACCCCCCACCCCAGGTATGACGTGCTGTGGTATGGAATACCTCTTTGGTCAGCCTGGGTCAGGTGTCCTATCTCTGCTTCCCCCTGGCTCCCCCTCCTCCCCGGCAGAGCATGAGCCTCACAAAATCCTTGGTCAGGGCAAGCATCACTTAGCAACAACTCAAAACATCGGTGCCATCAGCACTGTTCCCAGGCTGAAAGTCAAAAACACAGCACTGCACCAGCTACTAAGAAGTAAAAAAATTGACTGCCACTGCTGAACCCAGGACAATATCCACCCCTTATTCCATACCATTCACGTCATGCTCAGATCCCACATTTTCAATATACCGTTGCTCTCACATATATATACGTCCACATACACACACAGACCGAGAGAAAGAGATCATTTCTTAGTGCATGGACCAATCCCTATAATGCTGCTGAGTCCATTCGGTCCATGATGTCAGGTTCCATCCCTTGTAACAGTCTTTCAGGGCAGGAAAGGCTGTGTGCAGTATTGGATTGTTGCCTGCTGATGCTGATCGTTCCTTTGGTAGAACCAGACGAGTTCTGCAGTAAAGCTCATTCTCTGTTGGGATGATGGTTGGAGGGAAGTCAGGGCTAGTCACTGGTGACCTGGAGACATCTAGTTGATGGGCTATAAAAGTATTACATAGCAGGCAATAGCATACAGTTGAGTTCACTGGCTGTTTTCCCCTAAAATCAAATCCCCTTGAGGTACACATCGGACTTCCCCATCTTCCCACATTACCCACCAAGTATATCTGGGTCCCTGAGCAAAAGCAGTCCCACGAGTGGGTTTGCCTTTACCTGAAGCAGGAATAACCCAGACTGTCTTCCCCAGCAAATTCTTTATGTGCACCACAGGAACTCTGTCCCCCTCTACAATATGTGAAAGTTCTGACTGGGTTGGGCCAGCCCTGTTGGCAGATCTCTGGTGTTGACCAACCAGGTGGCCTTTGGTAAGTGTGTATCCCAATGCTTGAAAGTTCCCCCACCCATTGCTCTCAGTGTAGTTTTTAACAGCCCATTGTACCATTCGATTTTCCCAGAGGCTGGTGCATGGTAGGGGATGTGATATACCCACTCAACGCCGTGCTCTTTGGACCAAGTGTCTATAAGGTTGTTCCGGAAAGGCGTCCTATTGTTTTTTGCTGATTTTTGCTGGAGGGGCTTGGACTTCTGTCTTAGGTCACCACTGCCAGAAATAAAGTTGTGAGCCTGTTCTTATCTTGAGAACCACCTGACATCACTGAGAGCCATAACAGGACCATCAGTAGAGTGAAGCCCTATTCAAGGTTAAGAACGCGTGTGTGTTTCTGAGGGGGTATCTGTTCCCTGATGCAGACCTCTGTATGCAACGTTTGTCTTTATAGTACTTACTTATTTTGTTGTATTCCATTGAAGTATGAAACGTGACAAGGCATGTCTGACCTGCATAGTTCTAACAAGAGCTAGTTGATATTTTTCAAGTACTACATCTATTAAACCAAAGTTCCAGTGACAAAGACAGTTCAACTGCTTTTATCATTAAGGGTTCTTCATAGGAAGTTTTATGCTTGAAGGTGGAAAGGGTAAAACGGGATGCACAGAGATCATTTTGGATCATTTTGGATCATTTTGATGCTGTCCGTCCTAATGACCTGGATACAAAGTGAGGTTCAAGAAGTCCCTATAGCACTACAAGCTATGGTAATCTGCCAGTAGAAGGGTGGTTTTTTCATTCCCTGTTTTCTTATTCTTCTGACAGTATCCACTGCTGGCTGTGGCTAAAGAAGGGATCCTTCTCTCTGTGGGCCTTGATTCTGAGGGGTTTTTATACTTCCATGCTCAGATGTCTACTGCCAATGGACTGCCGTGCCTGGGCACAGGCAGGGGTAAATGCTAGCTCAGTGCAAGCAAACAGAGGAGAATAGGTGGAATGTCCTGACTCTTCTTTCAGCCTGAGAGCGCAGAGGTAGCGTGTAGTGGGGGAATAGATCTATAAATAGTATTTTATTTAGAGGAGCAGATAGGCAGGAAAGAGAGGTTAATTTGAATCATAGAATGGTTTGGTTTGGAAAGGACCTTAAGATCCTCTAGTTCCAACTGCCCTGCCATGGGCAGGACACCACAACTGCACACAGTGCTCCAGGTTTGGAGTGTCTGCTCTCAGGACAGCACAGTGACTTTTCACTCTGTCTGACTCTGAATTGGTCCTCAGTCTAGGTCTGATGGTTTGAGCAGATACTCCTAGCTTATGCTGTATTCTGACAGATACTTAGGTGGTGTATATGAAAACTCATATATCTGATGTAATTAGTTGTGTTAACTCAGACATTTACAAAGGTTCCTTTCTTTGCCTTGAGGAGCTGACTTCTAGGGTGTTTTATGTCAAGTGTCTAATAAGACTTGTTTTCATCTGTAAAATAACTTGATTACTATCAGCTTTTTGGATTTTTTTTGGCCAATATTTTGTTGCTTGGCTGTTCTGTTTCTGCGAAATACCAATTAAGTACCAGTAAGTAATATCTATGGAACTTGTTGTTCTGATCTTTGTTTAAAGAGCTTCAAATTGCCTAATTGCACGGTTGTGTAATGAGATGAATGAAATTCTTAGCTGATCTTTCATCCTTTTTCTTATTTGAGTCCCAGAAACAGTTAAGGCAGCAGTAGATGTTTGTGCATGTGTTATAAGCTTTATAATCCTAAACAATAAGCTTTATAATCCTAAACAATAAATCAATTTAGCAGTTTCAGATTTTGTTTATAAGCTTCAATTTCATTAAAGAGGCAATAGCAGAATATATCATATGCTGTTTAGAACAAATGGTATTTACTGCTAATTATAGTCTCTTCAGATCTGGTTGTCTCAATTATAATCCTGTTGGCTCAGCATTCTATCATCAGTGTAGTAACAACAAAGGTTTAAAATAAGTGCATGTCTACACTGATGTACTAGTCAGCAAGTGCTATAGTTCATCAGGTTCCTAAACTGCAGCAGTTTACTTGGAGGCTGCAAAGTGTGAGGTGCAGAACATACCCAATGTGCTTTTGCACAGACTAGAAACACAGTAGTTGTAGCATGGTCTGCTTACCCCTGGCACACATACTAGCTTTCTTACCAAGACTGCTTGTAACACAGTGAAGTGTTTTGTCCCTGTGCCAGCTGGGCAGCCACAGATTGTATACTGGGGTTTTGCTTTGAACTGGTTTTGGGTTTATAAACTCGGAGTTATGTTACTGCAGCTTACACAAAATTGAATTGGAGTAGAACGATGGCCCAGTGTATTTTGATCAAAATTATATGAGAACAGCTTTCTCCATCACTGACTAGTATTACATTAGCATGTGGCTGAGCTGACTATATTTCCTGCTACAAAGCCTTTTATTACAATGTGATAAGAATGAAAAGATATTATGTATGCAGTAATTTTTATCTGTTGGTAAGTGTATGCTGAAGTGAGGCAATTCTGCAGCTGCTTGAAGTAGTCAGCTGTTTGAAGCCAGATCTTATAATGTCTAAGTCTCTGACAAGACTCTGTGTTTTGAAGCCTTAAAATCCACATGTATCTTAGTCTCAGAATGGAGAAAGAAACCATTTAAATTTGATAATCTTAAAATGATAACCTCTGCTCCTGGTGTGTAGCAAAATAATTTAGATAACCAGGATCGACAGTATTATTTTACCAAGAACAGTTTATAATAGTGATAATAAATTTAATTTCTTGCTGTTACTTCATCCCCCCTTAAACTGAAGAATGAAAAGCAAAACATAAGATGGGAAACACGATATTATACTACCTTCCTGGACCTGTAAAGCAATGAGGATGTTGAGAGCCTAGTAGTTCACATTTGGAAATTTTACTGTAATTCTCCATTTTCAGTGTTTTGGTTTGTGTAAGGTATGAACTTTACCTCCTCTACCTCCCACTCCCTGTGGAAAATCATCCTCTTACCTTCAAAAACCTCCTCTTCCTGCCCTCCTAACATGTAGGTAACTGCAAGCTTTCTTCCCATAAACTCGGTCCTTTCTCCCTTCCTGCAGCATAAGATTGCTACTCAGTAAAATGAAGGAGTTCTGTTCTTAGTTTTCTGTCATCCTTTATCTGTTTGGCTTGGAATTCATGAGGCAGCACCAAAAAAGGTGGTTTTTTTGTTACTGTTTGTGTTTTCTTGTGGGCTTTTTGTCTATTTTCATGGCCTGCAGAAGCATCGATGTGGAGGATGGAAGTTGCCATAAACTACAGTACCTGTCTTTGGAATGATAGGTACAAGTAGCCCACTAGAGTTTGGCATTTTCTACTTCACTTGAACACATGAAGAAAATAAATCACACATAGAGGCTGCCAGGCAGCTCATAAAGAGAGGTTAGCAGCTTCAGTCAAGAGCCATTTTCATCTTCAGAAGAGTTTTTCTTAGAGCATTCCTTGGACAGGCTGTCAATCAAAGGCTTTGTTATACCAGGATCTAAAACCTCATCTGTGAAAAATGAAGCCTTTAATACGAAAATCTGCGGTGCTGTGAATGTTGTGCTGTAAGAAAGTAGTGCGGGGATGTATAACAAGAGTGACAGTACTGACAGCCCAGATGGCCTGACCTGACCTTGAGTACTCAGTAAAAATGTTGTGAACTACCTGTCTTCC